GTCTACGATATGATTTAGTGGCAATGTTTTACCAATATCCGGCTCGAAGGACCAAATGTTTAATATCCCGTAGGATCGCGACTTGTGTCACTTGCATATGTGAACGCTACTTACTTCTCTGGATAAATAAATTGTGTTCTTTTTATTACCATATACTTTATTGCTGCTGTCGCTATACAGTTCTGCGTGAGACTGACTTTGACCCTGCCCTTTCCTTGCGGGGATACATCGAAAACAAAACACTAACGCTCGCTCTACGCTCTAACAAATAATAATTGAATATAACGCGCGCGCGGGCTATACAAATTTAAAAAACTACGCGACACTTAGTTTTCGAGTTATAATTAAAAATAGGTAGCAACTTACGAATTCGGTACAACGGGCAGGCAGGGACGCGCAACGTATAATGAGACTGTCAAGTGTTTACTATCGTCTCATGACGCATTGCATCATCTCTGCCTGTCCGTTGTATCGGACTCGTAAGTAGCAAACTATTTTCAATTATAACTCGAAAACTAACATAAGCTTCGGACAAAATTTTGTAAAAGGAAAAATCGTTTCAGAATTCGCTCAAGAATATGGCATTGCAAGGACATCTGGTTATTTTGAATCACTCTGTATATGTAAGCAGGTAGAAGGTGCAATATGCGGTTATTTGCATACACAGAAAAATTTCAGTAATTTTAACACAAATATTTTTGTACTTGATTTAATGCAAAAACTTATACACATTAATATATTTGATACTATAAAAAAACACATAAGCGAGTGAAAGTTCTCCGAATAGTTTTACTCAACGATATACGGCACGAAACGGCTGGACAAAATCCGACTAGTTCTTTACTGAAATATCTTGTAACGGTCGGAGTTCGCTCGTTCAAAATGTCCGTTGAGCGTATTTGTTCAAACCACGTGCTCCGATTGGCTACCGACTATATTTATTACTGTAAGCGGGGTGTATGAATAAATCACTTCTTTGAACAGAATAACAAATGCCCTTTATTTCAAGCTCCGAATACACTTTATCTCGACGATCGTTCGACTGACTAGAACTAGTTTCACGGCTTATTCGACGACTCTTATTCGACTAGAAAACGCAACTGACTTTAATGCCGGTTCTGTACAGAGTGTCTTTCCGGATTTTTCTCCGGATAATCTTACGGATTCGGAAGATTCCAGAACGTTGTAGAACCTTCGGCGGATCCGGTAGCGCGCGAATGGATCGATTAGCTACTTCGATTATTCGAGAATCGATGTATTGCGATTTAATATATCGCCTGGTGCCTTATGGGCGCCGTCTGTTGGTCGGCCGTAAAAATATCTTACACGAGCAATGCTTTTCTAGTAATTATGTAAATCATTTTATACACGTTATTATACAATTATACTGTAAAATTAGGTTAAGCCATTATATGAAAAATGTTCACATTAGCGATAGACATAAGTTTAATAAATTAATTTTATTCAAAGAACAATAAAATAAAAACTAAATATTTTGTTTATTTTTTTATTGAATGAATACAGATTATTACATATTTCCTTTTCTATTTTATATGCAATAGTAAACAATTACATAAACTTACGAATAATACTTATTCTTTTTGTAGCTCCATTCAACTCTGTGTGAGTTCAATTCATTAACAAGTAACATTATAAAGAATTTAAATATACTATATTATTTTCAAAACTCCACGTTTATTGGTTAAGTGTCACTGAATCAAAGGTAACCTTCACGCAAGGCCGAATATTTCCGAGCCGCGCTCACAGAATTAGCCGAATTCAAGGTACTGCCTCTCTTACCGCTATTGGGAGCTTTCCATCTAGGAGATCGACACTGTGTGACACGGTCAAACACCATGCTTAGGCCGGTATTCATAGTCCGTTCTTATATT